GTGATAGGTGAGTGCAGATAGGAAGTGGTGGCGACTGGTCAATGATGTGGGAGGAGCAGATAGATGGGAGAGAAGATGGGCAGGTTGTGTCAGGTCAAGGAGGCGGGGATGAGAGGGAGGGTTAGGCCGGGGGTGGGGAGATTTGAAACTGGTAAAATCCAGCTGTAGGCTCCCAAGGCAGAATATGGTCATCCCATATGACTCCAGCATCGGCAGTTCTTAAGATAACCCGCTTGTACGAGCAAGGAAAATTTTAAATGAATGGCAGATTTTAGTTGCACATAACTGGGGACGTTGGGCAGGTGTCATTTTTCAGATAAATCATTAATCAAGAATCTTGATTGCCTGCTTAATTGGATATAAGAATTTCCATGGTATTATTCAGAGAAGCCTGAAATTCTGGTCAATATTCCTCAAATGATTATATCAAAAACTAATTAAATGGTCATTGTTTACCAATTGAATTCTTACTGCAAACTGGCTATGTTTGTTTCCAGAGTAACAGTGATACACGTCAAATGTTGGATTTAAACTAATGTGGCACAGGGATGGGAACTAGGGTTAGGGCAGTAGATGCAGAAATAGAGGGAGAGGTAGAAAACAAAGCAAACATGACTAAGGGCAGGGAAATGCTGCTGAAGAGAGCAGGGAGGAGGTCTGAAATGCAATGTGAAGTATAACAGGTGAGGTAGATGAACTTAGAGCTTTGGTTAGTACTTGGAACTATGACATTATTGCTATTATGGAGACTTGGCTGAAAGAGGGACAGGACTGGTAGGTATATGTCCCAGCATGCAGAAGTTTCAGGTGTGATAGAAGGGGATGTAAAAGGGGTGGGCAAGTTGTATTACTGGTAAAGGAGTATCTCACAACTGTACTGAGGGAGGATACATCACAGGAATCTTGCAGCGAGGCAATATGGAAAGAACTCAGGAATAAGAAAGGTGACATCACAATGCTGGGGGTATACTACAGGTCTCCCAAAAGCCAGCGGGAGATAAAGGACAGAATATGTGCAGATTTTGGAAGATGTAAAAGCAGCAGGGTTGTTATGGTGGGTGATTTTAACTTCATCTATATTGACTGGGGCTCACTTTGTGCTAGGGGCTTGGATGGGGCAGAATTTGTAAGGACCTTTCAGGAGGGTTTCTTGACACAGTATGTAAACAATCCAACCAGGACAGGGGTTATACTGGACCTGGTTTTGGGAAATGAATACAGCCAGGTGAGTGAAGTTTCAGTGGGGGAGCATTTTGAGAGTTTAAGATCCTCTTGGATAGGGATAACAGTAGTCCTTGGGTGAAGCTGTTAAACTGGGGGAAGGTGAACTACAACAATATTAGGCAGGAACTGGAGAATGTTGTTTGGAGGCAGCTGTGAGGGTAAGTCCACATCAGATGTGGGAGTGTTTCAAACAGCAATTGTTAAACATTCAGTAGCAGCACATTCCTGCGAGAATGAGGGATAGGTATGGCAAGTTATGTGAACCTTGGATGACCAGGAATGTTATGACCTTCGTCAAAAAGAAAAAGGAAGCATATATAAGGTCTAGGAGGATGGGCACCGTCGAAGCCCTTGAAATATATAAGGAAAGTAGGAAAGAACTTAAACAAGGAACTAGAAGGGTTAAAAGGGCTCATGAAAAGTTGTTCGCAAATCCGAGGCTTTTTATACATATATAAAAAGCAAGAAGGTAGCCAGGGAAAGGACTGGCTCACTCAAGAACAAAGGAGGGAATGTGTGTGTGGAGCCAGAAGAGGTAGGTGAGGCCCTAAACAAATACTTGGTGTTAGTATTCACCAAAGAGAAGGCATTAGTGGAAGATGATCTCAGGGAAGGGCGTATCAAAAATGATAGATACGTCCTCGGATCCTGATGGCATTTATCCCAGAATATTGAGGGAGGCAAGGGAACAAATTGCTGGAGCATTGACAGACATCTTTATATCCTCTTTGGCCACAGGTGAGGTCCCACAGGATTGGAGAATAGCCAATGTTGTCCCATTGTTTATGTAGGGGAGCAGGGTTAATCCAGGAAATTACAGGTCTGTGAGCCTCACGTCTGTGGTAGGGAAATTATTGAAAAAGATTCTCAGGGACAAGATCTATACACATTTAGGAGTGAATGGACTTACTAGTGATAGGCAGCATGGTTTTGTGCAGGCGTAGTCATGCCTCACTAACTTGATCAAGTTTTTTGAGGGGGTAATGAAGATTGATCAGTGAAAAATGGTTGATGTTAAAGCCTTTGACAAGGCCCCTCATGGCAGACTGGTACAAAAGCTTAAGTCACATGGTATCAGGGGTGAGCTGGTAAGACGTATACATAACTGGCTTAGTCATAGGAAACAGAGGGTGGCAGCGGAAGGATGCTTTTTGGAATGGAGAGTTGTGATTAGTGGTGTTCCATATGGATCAGTGCTGGGACCTCTGCTGCTCATGGTCTATATAAATGATTTGGAGGAAAACGTAGCTAGTCTAATTAGTAAGTTTGAGGACAATACAAAGATTTGTGGAGTTGTGGAAAGTAACAAGGAATGTCAGACGATACAGCAAGATATAGATCAGTTGGAGGCATGGGCAGATAAATGGTGGATGGAGTTTAATCTGGACAGATGTGCGATAATGCATTTTGGAAGGTAGAAATTATGCAGTGAATGGCACAACCCTTAGGAATATTGATATGCAGAGAGATCTGGGTGTGTAAGTCCACAGATCACTGAAGGTGGCAGTTAAGATAGTTTAAAAAAAGGCCTATGACATTTTTGCCTTCATTGGAAAGGGCATTGAGTATAAGGATAGACAACTTATGCTGCAGCTTTATAGAACTTTAGTTAGACCACAACTTGGAATATTGCATACAGTTCTGGTTACCAAACTAGATGTGGATGCTATGGACAGGGTACAGAAAAGATTTACCAGGATGTTACCTGGCATGGGGGCTCTTAGCTATGAAGAAACGTTGGATAGATTGGGTATGTTATCAGTGGAATGCAGGAGGTTTAGGGGCGATCTGGTAGAAGTTTAAGATTGTGAATGGCATGGATAGGGTGGAAAAAATGAGGCTTTTTCCCAGGGTGGAGGGGGTCAATTACTACCGGACACAAGTTCAGGGTGCAAGGAGAGAAGTTTAAGAGAAGTGAGAGGCAAGTTTTCCACACAAAGGGTGGTGAATGCCTGGAAAGCACTCCCAGAGGCGGTGGAAGCAGACACAATAGCAGCATTCGTAAAACACCTGGACAAATACATGAATAGAAAGGGAATAGAGTGATCCAGATTCTGTAAGTGAAAATAGTTTAGTATAGAAGGGCAAAATATGTCGGCGCAGGCTTGGAGGGCCGAAGGGCCAGTTCCTATATTGTTTTGTTCTTTGTTCTGAAATTCCTAGACAGGCAATAACTCCTTTAAAAAAAACCTAAAATTTCATTTACCTGAGCAAGGGGGAGTAAAAATAAAAACCAACAACCATATGACAAAGGTAATAATACGCAAAATAGTATTTTCTCATTTGAGTTTGTGGTCCTAAACACAAGTAGAGAAAGAACATGCACGTTTAGGTGGATACAGCCTTTCACATACTCAGGAAATCCCAAAGTGTGTTATGCCATCAGCTACATTCACTGTCATTTGTAAGTGAACATAAACAGTAAAGCTCCACAAACAAACAAATGTGAGCTAAAAGATTCAATAATGTCTTTCTGTGATGCTGGCTGAGAAATAAATGCTCCTTTTTGAATACTGCTACAAAACATTTTGCCAATTGAACAAGCCAACAGACACAGGCTCCTGGCATTACACAAGCCTGAAGGAAGCCACTGTCATTAAAGTTTCCACTTTTAATTCGAATGTGATTAACTTTTTGAAGATATCATCTTCAACAAGGTAAGTCTACATTATTTGCTGGTATCCTACAATTTGCTGAACGCATTAACCTGATTCAGAAATTAAGGGTGCTATCACTGAGTAAAGCTGCAATTTTTACAAATATATGAAAAATGACAGACAAGAAAGAACTTATTTAGTTCTTCCAGTCTGCCCTTACAGTGGAATGTCAAGTGCACCACATTCCATAGCGTTAGGGGAACAACATATAATCTTCCAGGAGAAATGAAAAATGAGACAAAATCCCAAGATCAAAGATTACTTTCAGATTCCCACAAATGTGTCCAGCAGATCACCCTAATGAACATAGCAAGGTATCAAGGTGTACTCTATTTCAAGAAACATATCCACTCTCACTTGAATTAAATCAGCATTATCCATACAAGCCAGCACACATTTCAACAGGTTGATTAAGCTTTGGGAAAATAATAATCTCAATGACCAACCTAGTCTTTCTTTTAAGTAACTTCTGAGAGAGAGATCTGGTCCTGCTTACAAAATTCAATGAAACAGCTCAACTGTACAAGCAAAATCTTGTCCTGGCAACATGTGATAAACCTGCATCACATTACTCCTGAGTAATGCAAAGGCCTTAACCTGGAATTGATCTGGTCAGCCAACTTCACACACGTTACAAAGCCTTGAGATCACCTTCATGTAAACCAACTGTAGCTGGCACATGACTAAGGACTTGTACATTGCTTTATAATAGGTTGTCCTATAAATATATTCTATCACACTTGATGCACATTTTCACAGTTTATTTTGTTGAAGTTATTCAAAAATGTATATGGTGATAAATATTTGACAGCAATTTTCGCATGTCTTTTTATTTTCAGGAACTGGAAGCTTGGAGTGCGGATTTTGCTTTGCCTAGTGCAGTGTGGCTTGGTGGCTTTTTCAATCCACAGTCTTTCCTCACGGCTATAATGCAGTCCATGGCCAGGAAAAATGAATGGCCACTAGACAAAATGTGTCTGGCTGTTGAAGTTACAAAGAAAAACAGAGAAGATATGACAAGTGCTCCCAGAGAAGGCGCCTACATCCATGGGCTGTACATGGAAGGTAAGACATTTGAAAACTAATAATCATCCCATGAATAATAATTTTACAAAAATATTCACTTTAGATGAAAACATTTTATTGTTTAACTAATAGGTCACTATAAAATGTGTAATAGCTGTTCAACTACCACAAAAATGTAACGATAAATAGATTTATAAGAAAATTCTCCAACCAACCTTCAATTTGTTTTATTAGATTTTACCAAATTAACAGAGTTCTGAAGTACAAAGAAATTGATTACAAAGTTTCCTTAAATACATGGACATTTCACGAGATCATTCTTTCTCAGTCTTCATTATTTTTGTTATAAAAACATGATAAAACTTTTAGCAGTTAAATTACAGTAATGTTTGATATGTTGAAAGGTGCGCGTTGGGAAAAGAACAGTGGAATCATTACTGATGCACGACTGAAGGAGCTTACACCAGGAATGCCAGTTGTATTCATCAAAGCCATTCCAGTAGATCGTCAAGAAACAAAAAACATTTACGAATGTCCAGTGTACAAGACCCGCAGCCGAGGTCCTACTTATGTTTGGACTTTCAACCTGAAAACAAAAGAGAAACGAGCCAAATGGATCCTTGCAGGTGTTGCTGTTTTACTACAAGTTTAAATCGTAAAGTATAGACTTAAAAAATCTCATTTATAATGTCATGACGCAGAATTAAAATAACTCAATTGTGTCTGCTGAGAAAGTTTCTGAATAAATGACACATGCATTAAAATTAATAATTTAAGTGATTTAATTCAAAATGAAATAATGCCAAATTAAACAGAAGAGGTTTTTGGAAAGCTTTGAAAAGTTTAGACACTTCGTAATATTTGTTACAGTTTTCTTCCTACTTTTCTTACAATTAGTTAATAAGATAGCCCGAGATCATTTCTTGAAGGATTAAAATACACAGGCTAGGATTAGCTTAAAACACGATTCAACGACTACCACACTTTGTTCCTTCACACGTATGTCACGGTCCACAATTTCCAAACTTAAATAAGTAAACAAAGATTCATAACTGGGCTAGTCACTGTAAAGACCGCATAGTAAAACTTCCATCTATGCCACCTGGGAACTGGAAAGTAGGAGAGAGAAATTCACATGCTTTTAATAGAGGTCCCAAATTTCAGGCCGTTGAGTTAACCCTGAGCTCTGACAAAACAGCGACTTTTTTTCTCTGACTAAAAAATGGTGGTGGTGGTAATTGAAAATAAGCTACCATTGTTAGTTAACCTTGAACAGGAGATGGGTGGACGTGGTATTTAACAGAACTGAAGTTTGCAATGTTAAGCTCTGCCAGGTGGTTGGAAATCAGGGTGAATTCTTGAAGTCAGAAATTCCCATTCACAATGTTCAATTATGATCCAATCCAAAATAAAAATGTTTGGTGATTAGTTGTTAGAAGTCCAAGACGAACCCTTCTCTCGCAAGTGGATGGAAGTAGATTTTCCATTGGGAACTCTGCAGCCTGGACTCAATATTGAGTTCAACAACTTTACCGCTTGAGCACGTTCCCCTTTGCTTTCCCCCATCCCCCCATACCAGGCTTTATCATCACATGGACTGCTATCATGCAGAACCTAGTGTCAGCTACTAGTAGTTCCCATTAGCAACAATTCATTCTCTTAGGCTAACCTCCATCTACCATTTACTCCACCAACCCCCTTCCCATCCTATCTTTTACATAAAAGACAACTTTTTCCCTAGCTACCGTCGGTTCTGAAGAAGATTAACTGATTTTTCTCCACAGATGCTACCAGACCTGCTGAATCTTTTCAGCAATTTCTGTTTTTGTTTCTGATTTCCAGCATCTGCAGTTATACAGCCATACAGCATAGAAACAAACCCTTTGGTTCAACTTGTCCGCACCAAGCCAGATATTAGCCCATATCCCGCTAAACCCTTCCTATACCATCCAAATGCCATTTAAATGCTGTAATTGTACCAATCTCCACCACTTACTCTGGCAGTTCATTCCATACATGCACCACCCCATGCATGAAAATGTTGTCCCTCAGGTGCCTTTTAAATCTTTTCCCTCTCAAACCTGTGCCCTCTAGTTTTCGTTTGGTTTTTTGAGGAAATTGATTTGCACAAATGGTGGGTGAGGCTGGAGAGATGCATATTATTATGACTTGAGAAATTTGGGGACCCGATGTTTTCCACTTTAACCAGCAAAATATGCTTTACATCACACAGCACTTTTGTTCTTTTATATTCCCCATTGGACATCCAACAGGATCAGCTTCTGGTGTTATGACTAACTAGAGTCATAATGGTAGAGTCATGCAACACAGAAACAGAACCTTCGGTCCAACTTGTCCATGCCCATCAGGTATCCAAAACTGAACTAATCTTAGTTGCCTGCGTTTGGCCCATATGCATCTCAACCTTTCCTATTCATGTACCCATTCAATTGCCTCTTAAAAGTTGTAATTGTACCCGCTTCTACCACTTCCTCTGGCAGTTCGCTCCATACACGCACCACCCTCTGGGTGGCTATGTGCTCTAGTTTTGGACTCCCTACCCTGAGAAAATGACCTTGGCTATTCATCTTATCTATGTCCCTCATGATTTTATAAACCTCTATAAAGTCACCCTTTAGCCTACAAAGCTCCAGCAAAAGAAGGTCCCAGCCTATCCTGATACTTAAAATCTATTGAACTAATAAAACAAAAGGAAGCCACTTAATAATTCCACAAGAAGGAAGCAAATATTTTGTTAAGGAATGAAGAAAATAAGCTCCAAACCTGACAGTCTATTATATCTAATGCCAGAAGGCGATTCTCATCCATCACCATCATTTAAATCAGATGATGCACATGCCTGACTTGAAACTAATTAAACATGTTTCAACTTCTGCATTAAGCTCATTTTCCTCTTCTACAGTATTGTCACTGATTTAATTGATTTGCCCAAATTATGAGCAAACTAAAGTTGCCCATAATTACACTTGTACCTTTTTTGCTTGTGTCTCTAATTTCCTGTTTATTGTCTTCTCCAATGCTGCCACTCCAGTTTCCGGATCTATACAAAACCTTTACTATTGTTTTCTGCCCTTTGATGTTTCTAAGCTCTACCCATTGAGATTCTACTTCAATAAAACTCATATCTCTTCTCACAGTTCCCTTAATTTTACACTTTAACCAGCACCACTGTTTCATTTTCGTCTGTCCTTCCTAAAAACAGAATGCCCCTGGACATTCAGTTCCCATCTGTAGCCATATCTTCATAATTCCAACTATACTGTATTTGTTTTTAGCTATGTATGCAATTAATTCACCCACTTTATTACAAATGCTCTGCATATTAAGACACAAGGTTTTAAGTCTTGCCTTTTTAACATTTTTAGTCCTGTTCGCATTATTTTGCACTGTGGCCCCATTTGATTCTTGCCCTTGACTTCTCTGCCTACCATTTTTCTTACTTTCCACTGTCTTTTGTTTTCATCCTTGATTCTCTCTCTTTTGTCTCCCTGTATAAGTTTCCAACCCCCAGCCATTCTAGTTTAAACCCACCCCAACCGTAGTAACAAATACTCCTCCTCAGACATAGTTCTGTGCCTGTCCAGGTACTACCCATACAGTTTGTACCAGTCCCATCTCCCCCAGAACCAGTCCTAATGTCTCAGGAATCTTAAACCCTCCCCTTCGAACCATCTCTCCAGCCCTATGATTATCTGATATATTCTTCTATTTTGACTCTGACTAACACGCAGCACTGGCAGCAATCCTGAGATCACTACCTTTGAGTTTACTTTTTAAACTTTGTTCCCAACTCCCTATATTCTCCTTTTAAGGCCTCATCCTTTTTTAAAATCTATATTGTTGGTACCGATGTGTACCATGACCATTGGCTGTATACCCTCCCCTTCCAGAACATCCTGTAACCGATCCTGGATTCTAGCACACAGGAGGCAA